TTAAACCTGTTTTTGTGATGCGCACTCTCGTTTGACTTCTACTCAGAATCATAACGGTGTTTGAATGCGTATGTGGTCTATATGGGGCGGAGGGGCAATGCGGAAGAATATGGTTTCAAGATAAGTCTCAGTAGGGGAGGAGCGGAGGGGTGGGGGTGGGATGATTACTTCGTGCAAAAAGCTAGGATGGGGTACGAAAAAATATTCAATTGACTCACCCACTCCGATACCCCTTCCCTCCTGAAGCTCGGATCCAAAAACTGTATGTTCTCGGCTAAGAAACCTTAATGAGCACAATTGTGGGTAACCCTTTTATGTTAAAATTTTGTTGGAAAAAAGCAGAGGTCTCCCAACTACATTATCACCTCCGATTTTCGAGAAGACATACATAGCACGATGCCGGTACAGATCGAAATCACAGTTTAGACGTACCCACTTCCCTCCACACCACTCACTTCATTCCGCAGTTCTCACTCTACTCCATCAACCTACCCACCAATTTACTGCTTTATATATAAGAAAGAAGAGTAGAATGGAGCTGGATTTTTCATATCACTACTTTATCGTAATCATAAAGTTTTGCGGAAGGACAGGCCAACACACCAAGTTTCTGCTTTATAATTGAGAGAGATAATGGCTTACGGCAACTAGCCAATAAGTCATTGCTTTTTCCTCCCATTTAATGAACTCCGGAGGGATGGAAGGAGGCTTGGATAACTTAACGGCTACCTGGAATCGACTTTCGGAGTATACGTGTGGTGGTGTGTCCCCCCCTCCCCCGGGCACTACACCATCTTCGCCCATTTTGAACGGGTAGCGCTTTTTGCAAACTTAGAGAAATTTCAGATCTCTCTATTGAACAAGTGATTAGATGGTTCAGCATCTATTCCAATACACAATGAAACACTTCGGTCCTGGCCCTTGCCGTAACATAGTGGGTCACATTTAAATATGGCGTATGTTCAATCCTGAATTATGAAATCGTACACATCCTGGTCACTGGGAATGGTTAGTGCTAATGCCTACATCCTACGTACATCCAAAATCGCCACCCATAAATACGTCTAGCAATAGTCCTCATACCTAATGGCCACATCGACTTGGGTCCCGAGTTAGTGGAACAGGAGTTATTCTCTTATCGTGAACTTACTGTAGACAAAATCACAATGGATTTCCCCATGTTGGAACCCTACTTACCTGTAAAAATGTATGGCAAACGGAATGATAAAACTTCAGCTCGTGCATTAAATTGGATCCTAAATTAGGCGTGTGGAATAATGCTGTGTACGTAGTAGGCGAAGATTTGTGGTACAATTTAATTTACGTCTAATTCTTCTGCCGGTGTGCAAGCTTTAGTGAGTATGATGATTATTATTAATGATGCAACCGAATTTTTTGCATTTCGTGTGGGATTAGGTACTACAGGGTGGCATACAGGTGATATAGTCTCCCAGGTTGATAGAAGAATATCTTTGTTTTCCCGTTACTAATGGCAAGGTTCTTTATTGTGCTCATTGTACTATTTTCGGAAGCTTTTTCTTATTTGCGCCGTATTGACGTAGCGTGCGCCATGTTAATTTCTTTGCCTGTTATTCTCCTGACTATATGCCTATACATTTTCATGTATCCTTGAAATTCAAATCATTTTTACATGCTAAATTTTTGTGCTTGATTTTACTTTCTCAGCTCATACTTTCATGAAATGAAAATACATTTTTATTCGAAGTGAATAGCCTACGTGTTTTGTGTTCTTCTTTTCTAACAAGGCAGACCTTCTAAGCACGCCCACGTTTTCTCTTATGGGGCGCTGCATTCTATCGTTCTACACTCAAGTCATTGTCGTTTATCGAGCTTTACCAATAACTCCAGAAACATACTTTCTACCCAACCGCCTTTACCCTGAGTGATACGGGAATGCTGAAATTAGCCTCGAGTGGGAGATCCGCTCCCATATTCCTTCACATTTGCTGCTTCACAAATTCACCACCACTTAATAGTTATATAGTCTGACGTCATTCTGCTCATTTAAATTTTGAAACATTTTGTTTGACAAGAAGAGACTTTCTGGAGTAATCTGGATTACAAGGAAAAGAGGAAGGAGTAAGAAAATTAAGCCTTATGAACCCAAATGATAGTATCTTAATTGCACTGCCTTTACGAAGGAACGACTTTCATTGCGAACTAGCCCGAAACTGGTTCCAGATAACTATCATGGTATTCTGGTTTTAGAATCTTTGGATCTATCGCTTTACATAACATGATCTTGACATAACAGCGCTATGTAATTCTTTGTTTTTTATCAATTTCCAATTAGGAAAATTCTCTGGGGGATTATCTCTCAACAACTTTCCTAATCAGCTTTTACTGTTAAGGTCATTTCTGTGGTTCACATATTGATGCTGTAAAGTGTTCAATAGACAGTGGCAACAGAAAATTACTTTGACTTTGTTAATTAATCAAAGGTTAATCGAAATTGGTTATGCAATGCGTTGATAGCGTTTTGATTAAAAATAGGGCTAACCTATAGTAGCTTTGGGTGAAGATGTCTTTGAGGAGGGAGGGAGTAGGGGGTGGGGCAGCCCCTTCTTCAATAGTAGACTCTAGAGGCAGAGGAGAAGGGAAAGCCGTTTTTGCGAGCCAGTAATAATGCATTCTAAGCAGAACTAGTATACTAGCACGCTAGTGCTCTTTTTTTTTTTAAGAAATGAACCTGTGGTCAATAAAATGTTCAGTTCTTCCTCAGTCCCAATTTTTTGCACGAAGTAACCACCCACCCGTCCGCAGCGCCTCCCATTCTGAGGTTCGTTAAAAACTATATTCCCTTGCTTAAAAAAGTTTCCAGGCACCACTACAGGTCCGCAAAGTCGGCTACTCTCCCTTCTTTGAGCTCTGAAGCCTATTTTTGAAGAAGAGGGATGCTCTCTACCCCAACCACCTATTTTTTTAACCTAATTCTGAATGGTTGTAAGCCTTCGTGAACTAAGTCCTTGACAATGTCTGTTGCTCTTATCTATATTGCTGTCTAGGAAAGAAGTCAGAAAAAAATTATGTTTTGACGAACGGTGTTTACATTCCCCCTTTGGCTTGAGCAATGTAATCAGTGAGCAGTGCTGTAGTCGCTTGCCTATTGATTTCTGCAATAAATCTCGATAACGGGACCAATCACATGTCACTCTTTTCAGCTTGTGTGAATCACTACTTCTTTTACCTCTCAATCATCGTACACGAGTGATTTCATTCGTATCTTTTTCGTATTATTTAGTTTCACTTATACTTACTGGAACTCCTGGTGCGGTCAACTGTTTTGCTGATTGCTGCTGACTTACTCTCAGCGGATTATTCCCTCACTAACCTTATCCGATAGATGTCCGCTTTGGGAGTGTAAGTTGTATTTTTGATTCTCTGCTTGTGCTATCGTCTTTTTGGATTCATAATTCTTATCGTTTGGTTTTATTTGATTTTCGTGGACGTGCGTCCTCATAAGGGTAATCGTGTTCGTAATCATAAGCTCTTCTTGATTTTTAACACTCTCGGTTTCGAACTTGTCCTCTTGGCAAGTGTACACACGCTGTCTAAAAACTACGTTCAGTAGCACTTTATTCTTCAGACTTTGTCAAATGGTTGCCATGATTCGCTGAGTTTTTACAGCCAATGTTTGTTGTGATATATCAATTAATGAAGGCTCATTAACTTCTTCCTCTGTTTTTTCCATCGATCGGAGCAGCTGCATTTCTAACTTTTCTGCAAAACATCATTGCCTGTCATAATGAAATGCTCCGCTGCTGCAACGGACACAGCTAGGCGTGACACTACTTTGGGCTTGAATAACTTTTCCCCAACGTGTATTAGGAAATATCAAGTTCATGGCATCAGCATTTGGCGTACTTCTTGTTCTTAGGCTTCTTATCCCAGTGAGGGCGAAATGCATAATGTCATGCTTGCGGCTATTTCTCTCAGTGTGGGTCACATGAATGCACTTTTGTTAGACTTCCAGGAAATAACTGAAAAAATATCTCGTTTTAAAAGTTCCCAGTTCACTACAAACCCTAGGAACTAGTGAATTCCTGCAAAACTTCGAACTTCAAATATAACTAAACTGCCCGCATGAGTTTGTGGCTTGTTTCATACACATCAAATGTAATCGAGCGCAGGTGGTCTATAGAGCAACTCTCATCTGAGCACTCATCGAGTGTTCTTGATGAATGGTTATTGGGGACTTTTTTCGTACGAATAAATCAATGGTGTGGTGCATAGAAGTAAGGTTGTGTAGTTCACTGGAAACCAAATGCTTTTGAGCAAATGGCGCAAGGATGTTTTTACAACTGCGGGCCAAAAGTCCCCATTGAGGTCACCACCCCGAAACTAGGTCACTCATCACGACGACCTTGACGAGAACTGTCTGCCGTGTACAAGATGCCGCGCGCGGTGACCTAGTTCCAACGCGGCGATGACGCATTTGCTCGATAATGTAATGGCCATCCATTTTATGCATGGGTGCTCGCTTGCTTGGTGGCTTAGGCTCAAACTTGGGCCGACCTCTTTCTTACTTTGAAAGACTTCGAAGGAAATGTAAAAGGGTGATCCGAGGCCGACCGAGAGCGTTGGTGGTCTTCTCTTTGTGTGCGATTTAATATTTTTTACATATTGCGGTTTTTTCAGCCTCTTACTATGTCTCTGCCAAGTAACAGTATTGCTCGTCATTTTCGTCTTTTTGGGTATTCCACTGCTTATCGCCTTATTCCCGAATATCATGGTCAAAATGTTCTTCCTCAACTTTAGTAAGTCGAATTTTTTTTGTTATATGATTAGATCGGCGTTATCCATACCAGTCGGCGTAGAATTACTTGGAAAAGCTCATTATTGCCTATAACATATTTTTTAACATCAAAAATCCCTTGGAATCCTTAGATTCAAATTTACTACGTTCTAGTTAGGTATCACTGAGTCAAACGCTCAGAACGCTACTGTGTTATTTTATGAGCCTCTAATTTCACTCAACAATGGAGATAAGAGGAGGGGCCTGTAATTTTGTAGCAAACAAGTTAGTTCTGAAATCAATCTGTGCGGTGTTATATAAGCTCCGTTTTCTGGAAATGTGTGAGTGTATAGCATTGCTGCTATACCTAAGGTACTCCCTAGAAGCAAGTTTCAGAACCACTTTTGTCTTGACCAGATTTTCATCCACTAGATCGCTTATTTGGTTGCATTTGCAGAAAAAAAAGATTGGGAGCATTTGGATGAGTAAGTCTACTACTAGCCCCGAACCCTCGACTGCAGTTCTGAAAGCCCGTTTTGAGATACAGGTTCATAAGAAAAAGATTATTAGAAACGGTGGATTACTACACTTATAATGAGATATAAGTATCTTATTTATAGTTTAGTAGTAAAGTATGTTTTTAGCGGTGTATCACTTCGAGACTGTATTCATAGGCATGTTTTTCCTGAACAACTTTTTACGATGAGCTTTATCTGTTTGATCTGGTTGAACCGATTACTGAAATTCACCTATTTTCTTAACTCTGAGAGAACAATGAGAAATGGCGCAAAACACATTCGGTTCATGTTGTTCCCTTACTATCTAATTTTCGATCCATTCTTTTCATAACAGTACTACGTTTTAGGGAGGATACCAATGACTGATTATATGAATGTGTCAGCGAACAATGTGCGATCAATAGGAAGAGCCTTTTACCTTCATGGGCAGGAAGGCAATATAGGCGTCTGGTCGGTGTGCGATTCATTAGTAAAAAGTTTTCCAAAGGCAATGCTTTCGTAATTGAGCTCTTCTTAGGCATATGCTTCCAAAGTCCATGTCGGCTGATTATCGCGAAAAGGGCATTCATCCAGATGACGAGGAGATGGAAAGATCGTTATCATTGACGCAGTATCCTATTGTATTGTACCTTCATGGTAACTCCTTTGACAGGTGTGTTTGCTTGGAAATTGGTCATTTACGCGTTGAACTCGACTTTTGCAGAACGATTGCACATCGTGTTGAGTTGTACAATTTGTTGAATAAACTGGATTATCATGTGGTTACATTCGATTATCGAGGTACTGCTGCTTAATGACTATACGTATTGGGAATATGATGTTAGCATCTTTCATTGTAGCAGACTGGAACCTATCACGATTGTCGATTGTCCCTTTCCTGTGATAACTTAGAACCTTCCAAACATTTCCTTGTTACCTGTGCTGTTCTGAAATAGTGATGGTTCTGTAATAGGCTGTTAGTTATAGGCTACGNGATTGCACATCGTGTTGAGTTGTACAATTTGTTGAATAAACTGGATTATCATGTGGTTACATTCGATTATCGAGGTACTGCCGCTTTATGACTATACTTATTGGGGATATGATGTTAGCGTCTTTTCATTATAGCAGACTGAAGCCCATCACGATTGTCAATTGTCCCTTTTCTGTTATAACTCCAGAACCTTCCGAACATTCTTGTTACTTGTGCTGCTCTGAAGTGTGTGATGGTTCTGTAATAGGCTGTTAGTTATAGGCTACGGAGACTCTGAAGGAAATCCCAGCGAACCCGGTTTGGTCAACGATAGTCGTCTTGTTTACGATTATGTTAAAAGTCATGCTAAGGACAACGCAATCGTCGTGTGGGGTCATTCAATGGGATCTGGGTGAGTGCCTCAGTTGTGTTTTCTGCCTATGTATTCATTCGTCTCCTTAATTCCTTACTTTTTCCATCTCTGCAGGAATAAAAATGGGAATAATCTATAAGAGGTCTTGTAGCGTCTAACAGATTTGAGTCTTTGTAGTGAATGACTTCATTTCCGATTCTTGAAGTATTCCTTTGCGTCTCAAGCGGGTTTGGGCGGAGACGGGGAGAGCGTACCTTCGTTCATGGGTTTAGACGATGGGGCTCAAGGTTGCGATAGCTTTTTTGGTTTAAATCAATTCCAGCCATCACGTCATACTTTTGCCAGGAAGCCGATTTCGTGATTTCCTTATTCTGCATGGTGATCTTGAACTGATGATTATAGAAAACTTTTCACTTCTGTATCATTCGATCCACATTCTGCCTGATATTTTTCAGAGTTTCAACAAAATTAGTGATGGATCTTTCAGTGGAAGGTATTCCTCCACATGGCCTTGTTCTCGAATCTCCTTTCAATAACCTCAGAGACGTAATTATGAACCACCTATTGAGCATAGTGAGTGGCTCATTAATCTCTAAGATCTTTTTATTACCCTAGATTTGCTCAATTTTAATGGCTTTCATTCTTAGCCCATACGATGGATGCCAGAAAGTATGGTTCAGAGAATTCTCATACAGCCATTACGAGAAGTCAATTTGAAAATGGAGACAGACAAGCGTATAAAAGCGTATGTTTGTTATGTTTTCATTTTTCGACGAGTACTTTATGACTTCGAAAGCGTTTCAATATTTTTTTTATTATGCTTACAGCATCACTTGTCCAATTCTGATATTGCACGCCGAAAATGATCATGTTATACCAGTCTTCCTTGCCCGAAAACTCAGGGTTAGTTGTCTTGTTCATTCACTTTTTTTCGATATCGCACTTTTCTTCGATTACATCATCGTTTTTCATCTGGATTGCTTGACGTTCTTATATTTACTGCGTAGATGTCTATTTTAACGTTTTTTTTGGTAAGATAAGTGAGTAATTCTGGAAAGTTCTCTAACTGAATTGTGTTATTTTGAAAAACTTGAAAACTACTAGTTGTAGCAGTTGTCAAATCATAGCGGAGCAAGGAATTGGTTCGAGTGAGTGAGGGTTCGAAAGAGTGAAGTCAGTTGAATCAGACCGAAAATTGACATTTCAGCAACATGTACAAGGTCAATTACACAATTCTCACTCCGACTACCTGGAATATGACATTGAACGACACAGCAACGTTTTAGATTTTTTTTTTGGTAGAGGGGGGGGGGGGGGNGGGGGGGGGGGGGGGGGGGGAGAGAAACATATGAGGAAGGTGGGTGGACATGGGGGTCAGAGAAAGCTGTAGTCCGATGGAGTCCAGTTTTATGGTGCGAAGAACCTTTTAGTTTGTGCATAATAATGAGAGCCCTCCAACCTACTGAGCTTCTGGGGTTACTGTGAACTTAACGGGAGTGAAATCACAGTGATAACATCGCAGTAGATGTTGTTTATCAAGATTAGCCTGCATAATGGGCGAGTGTGTGTACATTTGGGTGGTGCTGATCACGGATGTGGTGAGGCACGCCATTTTTTCCGCAATAACCAAACATTATAAAGTGTTAACTATCTCATTCTATTTGTGCTGTGCTTCTTTGTGCTTCAGTTGCGCTATGGATGAAACCATTCAGGATGCGGCTTTGGCTGCTTCTCGGGACGTCAAGTACGTTGAATTCGACGAAGATCGGAATTACCAACACAAATTTATCTATATGGCTCCTGAATTATCAACGTTACTTCCGTGAGTTTTATTGCTTTTTAATGCTTTTTTGTAATCCTTTTCAGTTTTCAAAATAATTTCACTCGATCTGGTTTATCTTTTTAGTCTTCTTAACGACCTGAACTGATCTGCCTATCCTATAAATAGCAAAGAACTGTCTCAATCGATGAAAGTGTACTGATTGGAGTAGTTTGATTTTTCTCGGCATTATTTCTGTTTGTTGCGGAATTTGTCTGATTGTGAATGCGTTCTGTACCAGCGATGAAAGGACTGCTGGTATGTGATATATAAAAAAACGATAGTGCGCTGTGTATAAGTAACATTAGGAACATTCCTGAGCTGCAATTTTTTTCATGCTCTTGATTGGCGGTTCAGTGTTCTTTTTAGTAGTGGTGAATACTGTTATTACGAGATCGTGACCGACTTGACGGGTTCTTTTTTGATACCCGTTGTGTTGCTTAAGAAATCGAAATCGTACTACTTATAAAGTTCTAGTAGGATACTTATAAGGCTCAGCTCATTGTTCTGTTTGAGACCTACATACAAGTAGGTACGCTGCTGCCTATATCAACCGGGGATGGGATCGGCTCTACAATTTATCTATTGGCAGAATACATCGGCCCGGTTGAGTTTTGTGTGGCCCTGTCATGACAAAAACGGCCTTTTCGCCTATAATGGGCTTGAAGCCAATTTAAAACGCTCCCTGCCCTTTTCGGCATCAACATTTATATTATGTTGAAGCTGTCAACTTCTATGTCACGTTTTTATGGATTTTCAATTACCTTCCTTCATTTCCAGCACGTTTATCGAGCATTCGAAAGAGATTGCCAGTCAACGTGGCTCTTTGCGATCTAATTAATTGCTTATGGTCTCAACGCTTCCACGGATTTCAATTGTGATAGGGGTATTGCTTTATTTATTTTAACAGTGGCCTTGATTTGCTGGTTCTTATCGAGGTGCTCTGTGTCTTTCTATTATATTGAACGTTTGCGCCACTAGTATTGACTTCCCCCTTAGCTTTTCTAGGTCCTATCAAATTGTATAATAGCTTTTATTAGCGTTACAACATTTTTTTCCTTCTTCCGAGCTGTTATCCCACCTTACAAGTGGGGTTGTTAGCATTCCTTTCATTCATTGATCAACATTTCCATCTATTTCCTGACCCTCTTGATTTGTACAGTACCTCAGCCGTCTATCTAGTCGATTCCAACCAGCGATTCCATCGTGATGTCAGATTGTCAGTTTTATCATTATTCGGTGATAGCATTTCATGGTTGCTAGCTCGTTGTGTCCCATTTCCTAAAGGCATTACTGTTTTCTAAAGTGATCCTATTAATTTATTGATTATTTACTTCGAGCTTAAAATTAAGACCACTGCGCATATATTGTCTCGTGGGCAGAAAAAAAAACTTTACGAGTCATAAAAATGCATTTATGGTTCATAAACAACACAGCAACATCGACATTGAATAAAAATCTTTGTACAAGTAAACTGTATTTGGTTTTCCCTGTAGGAGTCTTATTAATGAGCATACTAGGAAGGATATGACTGTATTCAGTTAAGAATTTCGCACATTTTCGTTGGGATGCTTTGGGAGTTCAACAGTAAACAAGGTGACCGAAGGGCGTTCTGCGCAAACTTTGCGCATGAGGTTGGTGTACCCAAGTATCAAAGATGAACTATGATAGTCAAGCATGATCGGATTCGATTTTTTTGGCGCCCACCTTAACTACATGTGTTGATGTACATACTTATACTTACTTATCGAGGGTGGTGATATTCCTACAAAAGTTCCCAAGGCAAGTCGTATTGCCCTTAAAACGCGCGACTATGCGTGATCGGATGCAACGATGGCGGCAGGACGTTCAGGTGGAAGATATTATACCCGTTACCACGTTTAGGTCTACAGTACCTTGTGAACTTCCAGCCTTCGATGTGGAAAAGTTCCCCGATGTCGAATATGGAAGGTAATCCCTTCGATTAAGCAATTTCTATCTGTACACTCTCATCATTATCGTCATTTTTCACAGTAAGCACGATAATTGGTGGATGAGCATAGCCATGTAGTTGTTCATAGGATCGTAGCTGTTTCATAACATGCACAATCAATACCGATAGTAACGCCCATACAGCAGGAAGTATAAACTCCAAGGCAACAAAAGTCTGCAAGTGATTGAATAAAAAAAGTTTTTGGATAACTATATACTAGAAGAGCTCACCCTGTCTTCGCTAGTGGATTTCACCCGGGTTAAAGTTTTGTTATATGCTCGTACTGTCCAGATAGCTCCTCTGAATGATAGAAAGGTTCTGTTACTACATCATACACTGAACGAATATTGCAGTCGGTTTTGGACTACCGACTCGATTCTTTGGGGTGAGGCAAGGATATTAAAAGGAAGCTCTAATCAATAATCGATCCAATTTAGGCGAGATTGGGATCACTGCCCGTCGGGAGATCGTTTCTAATTTCTTCCGATTCCTAGTCAGGATACCTGGTGTGGGAAACTCGTACTAAGTAGCTTTATACAGGCAAGTTAGTTGACAGATATGACCCTACACAATTTTCAGCATGTCTCCTCATTTTTTGTGACCACTACCAGAAGGTCATCTACAGGTGGAAAAATTGGTGGATACAGGTGGGCAAGTAGGGGGATGACGGCATTTCTGGGTTGTTTTTGTCGCTGCACAAGTACGATGCTAGATACAGATGGCAATGACCTCTCTAAACTGGTTCCCACACAGCACAGCTCATTTAGCTGTTCCACAACATTATATGACGTCACCCTTATCTGGTTCATCTACACCCCTTGCATCCCATGTTCCACTTCTGTTTCCCCTTAGGATGTAACCGTGCTCTCCCTTTACTCATCTCCTGCATATGCGAAAACTAGGAGTTCTGTGTTTTCNTACAGGTGGGTAAGTAGGGGGATGTCGGCATTTCTGGGTTGTTTTTGTCATTGCACGAGTACGATGCTAGATACAGATGGCTATGACCTCTCTAAACTGGTTCCAACACAGCAACTGTTTAGCTGTTCCACCACATTATATGACATCACCCTTACCCGGTTCATCTACACCCCTTCCACCCCATGTTCCACTTCTGTTTCCCCTTAGGATGTAACCGTGCTCTCCCTTTACTCATCTCCTGCATATGCGAAAACTAGGAGTTCTGTGTTTTCGGAAACTAAAGTGAAAAACGTGGAGGTCAGGGAAGTGTGGAACAACCGTAAGCATTCAAGACAGGCGTAGTTATGAGCTGTACAGATTCGACTGCAAAAATGGATATTGTTATGTTTGCCAAGATTCATTGAAACATTCCTGGATCTACCATTCTACCCAGCCACCATACCATGTACTTACTGCTATCTCAATGCCGGGAGTCGATGTACTCGCAGGAAGACGGAGGAGACCAACGTTGTATACCATGTGGCTTGTGTGGCTTGTGTTAACGAAATCATTGGGAGAAAAGAACAAACAAGAGTAAACTGTTCTGAAAGTGGGGGAAGTGGTTGAGGGGCACTGAATGTTACACAGTAATGGGTAGCAGGTCGGTCCATGGGCCATTGTGGAACGTATACATTGTAGAAAAAAAAAACTACAGGCCTCAATATCCTGTTCGCTAAGCGTGAGGCGTGAAGCTCACGCTCAACGAACAGGGTAGTGAGGATTGCAGTTTTTCTAGAAAGGCAATCGTTGCATAACCGAGACTCGAATGGGGTGTTGAGCCTGAATACTATCTTCAGGTCTAGTGTATTCATAAGGACTCCTACCTACATATTTGAGCCTCCCATAGCTCTCTCATTCTCTCAATTCTCAGCTAAGGCGCAAATCGTTCCTTCCTCCACCCCACGTTCCTATTTCTCGGGCGAAGGTGGCTTAATGTCAAGTGGCGTACTGTTACACATACATGGTCAAGGGATCGCCCGATCCCCGATCGATGTTCGCTTTGGCTAACCAGGCCTCCGATCCTCTTCGAATCGGTCAAAAGGTACAGAAGTCATCTGGGAGGATCAAAGCACTGCCTTGTGCATCGGTTGGTCATCCAACACACTGTATAGGCTACGTACGCATTCAAATCGCTACTACGCACCTGAATGGAAGTCGAGGGCTTAGGCTTCCTCAGATGGGATTGATCATTGCCCTAGTCATTATTAAACTTTATCTTCATCCGCGACGAATCTCATATTGTTTGCTTGATGTATCCTCAGATGAGGAGGACAGAGAGCAACAAACAATTCGAACTGTACCTGATGATTAGAAAAAGTAGTTGTATCATAGTGCAGGGAAGGGTGAGAACGGGTTTACGTGTCCACATGGCCGCTCCAAGTCCCAGCACGCAAGTGAAGATGTCACCAAACATTCGAGCTACCTACAACTTATTGAATCAATTTTGTAAATGTTGTCTTCACTCTTAGAGGGAACTTATTGGTAAGGCCACTTACAAGGTAGTATACATCAAAACTCTGGAAATCCTTATAAAATCGCCATGAATTAGGATTTTCGGCAGAGTCGTCCCTGGAATCGTTGAACTACAGTATATGTAAATCAGAAAATGACGAAAAAGTGTGAGGTGAACAATGCTCCATCTATCCATCCAGGATTCATTCAAAACGTGAAAAATCTTTTCCAGCAGAAATTATAGGGAATAGGGAATTCGATTCGGATGATAATGTGATAATGGCTTTTGTTCAATGCATCCAGAATAAAAGTCACCGTCCCTAACTTCCAGAATAGGCTCGATTCCAAGTACCCTAAAATTCCATAGATAAGAGCGGTTGAAACTACCGGTGAAAAATGAATTGGAATGAAATTGAAATTGAATGCAGTCACCCTCTAACTTGATGGATGGAAAAACTAAACTTCAAAGAGAAAGTTAAGAAGAAGCTCCTCTCCTTAACTCCAAACCCCGCCCACCTAATAAACAATTCATATAGAAAAGTAGCGATTTTAATGGATCGCTATTTTTCCGTATGAATTGTTTATTAAGTGGGCGGGGTTTGGAATTAAGGGGCTGAGCTTTTTCTTAAATTCTTCTTCGAAGTTTAATTTATCCATCCATCAAGTTAGAGGGTGACTGCATTCAATTTCAATTTCATTCCAATTCATTTTCCATCGGTAGTTTCAACCGCTCTTATCTATGGAATTTTAGGGTAATTGAACGGGAAGTACAAAATACGACACTTTCGGTACATAATCCATTTTTGCCAAATGGCACCAGTTGGGTAAGGTCATTTATTGAATAGGTTTATAATCCACACAAATGCATAAATCCTATACTCGAATAAAATTATAGTGAATAGCTTTCTCAATCGGTCTTTAACAAAATATCGGAGTTGGCTCAAAGGCGATTACAGTTGAGTTAGGTTCCCTAAGGTCACTTCGCGCCGTGACCCGGTGTGAGCGAGGCGACCGCAATGGGACTTCTTGACCAAGCTTTTTCCAAATTAATCTCTCTTTCATCATGCATAGTTTATATTAATCGAAGAAATGTTACAATGAGTCCCGATCTCACGGATTGAACCTCCACAAATCGGAGCTCTGTACCATCAAATCCAAGTTCACCACGGTTGAGAAGCCTAATAAATGGGTAGTGCCTCGAGGTTCGTTTCTAGGAAGCTCCTATCCAACAGCTCCATCCCGTGCCCAACTAAAGAGAGAAAAACGGAGGCACAAACCTCAAAAGATATGCCCAGTGCATAATATCAATAAGACAGAGGACGATGAAGATCGCTTTGAGAACGTAGAATTGCCGCTTTGGATTGAACCATGTCCAAGTCTAAATAAACTGTGTTAGAGAGTGTTTTGTTCCGTTAGGGGAGATTTCTTCTATTCATCATTTCGTTTTGAGCGGTAGTGTTATTTACAATTGAGTGAATGGTGAATAAATATATTGCAAATGTGTTCAGCGTTATATTTCAGTACGGAGCCTGAGTGAATTTTTGTCGGACCTTCATTAAAAGTCTTTATACACAGATAGAAACTTACCATTAGCCGACTGATGACGACATTCCCAATGAGACCTCACATTACCGTAATTTCCAAAGTATCTTTTTTAGCAACGCTCATGCGATAATGATCTATGTTTACAATCATGTATACTAAATCGTACCTGAGTATTATCGATGGTGACGCCTTGTCGATTCTCCGAACTGGGAGAACTCATGGCGGATCCATTAGCAGAATCTGGTGCCTTGACCGACAACGTACTTGGTACCCGAGGAGAAGATGACATGTCCTGTGATGGATGGTTTAACCCAGAAGGATATTCATTTTCATCTATTCTGCAAAAGCAACAGAGAGGAGTATCTGTGCTGTTAACCATGCTTGAAAATTTGATCAACGTGAGTGTCATGAAAGAGAATGGGTGTCCTTAAGAGATAGGTCGGGAAAGGTGCCTTTCTGTTTGCCTCTTTTGATGGCAATTATCAATCCTCTTGCTTCTTGAAAATTGAAGAGCTACCAGGGAAGCTAAAAACTGCGGTGGAGCACTTCTAAAATTAGAAATGGCTAATGGAGACATCAGCGAAGCCAATCAGTTCGTCATAAACTGCGACTCGTCGAGCGGTTTTTTCTTCCACTGGCTTCTGAAAATTGCACGCGTCTCCGCGATCGAATATGGAGGAAGTACGGCGGAATGACATCACTTCAACATTTCTTGGGAACGTTAATTGCTTTCCTATTCGAATTGTTTCGAATTTTCGACGTCAGATTGGTGAAGCCTATGAGAACATCGTTAAAAACCCGGGCGGGAAATATGATGCTATAGTATTGGTATAGCTCAGATGCAAAACATCACTGTATTGAAAGATTAAGGCTTGATGTTGATCGACCCCATTCAGGGACAAAAGCAGTCGTTCATTTATATCCGGAAATTTGGGCCAGTCTCTACAGCCTGAGGCTTCGAGAAAGTCTCGAAACCGGTGTTTCTTTTCCGTACAGGGGGTTGGTACCAAAACATCTATGCTAGGGTTATGTAATGCTCGATTTTTTCATCTAAATTCGATCTCATTTCTTCAAATCATGGAATTGGGGAAGGAGCCAGTTTACGCTACTCCAATACAGTCCGATCAAGGACATACCAGGACGCGCATCGAAAACTGATCCAAATTTACGATTTAACCTCTCATTAATTTACTGTAAATTCTCACGAAATAAGTATTTCTTTTCATCCTCCCACAGGCGAGGCCTGAACCCTCCACCGAGCTGTGCCGGCACCGTTCACTTCATCTCTCATACTACCGAGGTACCACCTGTCCTCGCCTTTTTAATGGCTCTTGAGCCTTGGCTTATCAGCAATCCCTTAAATGAAAATAGGTGAGCTACCAATGGTACTCCCTGATTAATCGTATGCCAACTGACTCAGAAGTGAGACACTGGGATAACTGTTCCCAAACATCTCCTACATGGCTAAAATAACCGAACGGAATGATATCCTACGGCATTATCTACATGTTTTCCAGGATCCCATGAGAGCTTACTGGATGCAGAACAAAATTTTTTATCTCAGTATGACTGTACCTCAATGTTGCCTCCTCCGTTCATCTTCAGTTCGAGAGTATTGGCCCGGGATCGGGATCGAATGATTCGTGTGCCTTCTTTGAAATGTAGATCGATTGTGTTACGCCGGCCAGAAGTGCTGCCTTTTTTGAACTAAAGATTGCTGTACATACAATAATAGAGAGATGGACAGGTTTCAAAAGGGAATGAAGAGAAAGGCGAGGTGATATGAAGGGAGGTAATTATTCTACTGATCCTGCTATAAAGCTTGGTGTTTGTTGGCTCTAGTACAATTGACATTATCTCTCACTGCCTAACATTTCCCATCCCATAGAAGCTAATCCCGCTCATTGAAAATACAAATGTAATCTCCTTTAGAAACAGATTAAGCGTCCTGAGAAGTCTATTCCTTCAAATGTTAGCTAACTACTTTAACTACATAATAACTTTTGTAAATAAACTCACGAGCTCAATAAGCTCTGCTATCATCTCGCTGGTCCGCAGACGTGGGGTGGGTTTACGCCAAGGAATTCGTGGTGAGG